TTAATTTACTAAATAAAGTTTAATTTAACTTTATTTACAAAAGTTAATTAATAATCTAAATGATTTTCAAACAAAACAAAATGAGGAGACATATTTGCTGTTTAAGTATGGAGCAGTATATCAGAGTGTTAAGCAAAACAAAGCTAAAAGAAATCCATGATTGCTTTCTGTTAAAGCTTATTTGAAAAAATAGAAAGTACTTTTTGTCACCAAAAGAGTAAAAAAAGGGGCCAAACTTAGCATCACTTTATGCATCTCCAAATATGCAAACTAGCATGTGTTTGCATAGGATTGCATCCATTTAAAGGGGTAAATGTTTTTAAACTTTAATCCCTATTTTCTAAGTACAGTAGAATGATTCGTTAAAACCAGATGTTTGAATTGCTCTACAATCAGAGGTGAACCCCATCTTTGATTACTAGGAGAAGAAAATCTAATCTACTCAAAACAGAATATTTATTTTACTTTGCTTTTTACACTTTGAAATGAATAACAAAATCATTATTGAAAATAGGGTTATAACTTGGGGTTGTGAAGATACTTTACTTTGGTTTGGTTTAACAAATTCTGGTAAAAGTTTTGTTTGCTTAATCATGTGAAAATTAATGCTGTGACAATGGCATTTTGTCAAGGTAACAGCAAAACTCACTTTATTGGTATTCGTTTTAAAGTGAGTCAACTGCATTAAATTTGCTGATTTTTTTATATTAAAATTCAGTAAATGCATATAAAACTTTCATTTTTAAATAATTCTTTTTAAATTTAAATTAATTCTTTTTAAATTTTCCTCTCTCTAAATAGAAAAAATTATCAGCAGGCATTTGATAAGCACTATAGTATTTATCCTTTCAACAATAAAAATCTGATTAGTTTTAAATTGTAAAAAAAATAATTATTGTTTTATTTTATAACATTTTTTTTTAATTCTCAAGTAATTAATTAATTTTAAATGAATTTTTTTTTATTGCAAATAAAACATCCTGATAGGAAATAAAGTACACTTGTGATTTAGTATTTATATGAAAAATAATCTAAACAATTCCATACCTGATAATAAGCTATTTATATCAATATAATTTCCAACTTGGAATAACGCCAACATTATAAGATTGTAACTGTGCAGAAAATTCAAATCCAAGAAGAGACATTTTTTGTAATACAAACTGTACTTAAGAAACATTAAGATAAAAAATATTTAGATTCTGGTGATCATTTTTATTCCAAAAGCTTAAACATCAAAATAAAAATTATGAAATATTATTTCATTATTTTTTTTGATATTTTTCTCTCCTTCAGTGATTGATTCACACACTGAAGATGATCAAAAATATTCATTTCCTTATTAAATATATTATTGATATATATATGTTGATTATCCTTACATACTTGAAACAAACAGTTATTCCATACTGCTTGTTATTAAGATTACAATATTGAATAAGTACTCAGCATTGTCCAATAAAATGTAATAATAATGATAACACTTGAAGCCAAATGAATGCTGAATTATATCGGGCTATATTAATGCTACTGTTAATAATTAAATGTTAAGTAATTTAGACTAGAGGTACACATTAGACACTATCTCATCTCCTTCAAGAACCTCCTAAATTAATTAATAAAATATTAATTTAATTAAAATTATTAATAATGTTATTATTATAATATTATACAGTCGACCCCCCCTATAACACGGTAGATACGTTCCATTCTTTATGAAAGTGATGTTCTACGAGTCCTTAAATACATGAGCCAATCACAGCCTGGCATGTATGCAGTTTACAAACTATGGCTGTTTGAAAGGTTTTCTTCCATAAAATTAATCAATTCTAGACTAATTTGACTCAACATTTCCAAAATATGTATAATTTTTTGGGAATAATCCATATAAACTATGCTATAAACAAAAAATTGTAGGATTACTTACCGAGTGCGCACCGTTCGACGCCGCCACTGCTTAAGCTTGTTTTTGTCGTGGAGCAGTGCATTGAACGGGGGTGTGCGTGTTTCCTGATAAATTATTTTTCTGCAAAAACTTTGCTGAACTTTGGAGACATCATTAATATAAATATAATTTTTATTGCCATTAAATAATAAATGGTTTTTAGTAGATCTGCTGCTCGTTTAAACTCAACGGTTTGTGCAATATCCGCTATTGGTCTAGATTAGACCAATCCTGTCGCAACATGAGTCGGCGATGCCGTTTTACTGAATTATACAAGTCTCTTTTAGCGTGTTTATACGAATACGGTCACAATTTTTTTCGCCATCATACAGGAATCCGAACTACATGAACCCGTTTTATAGGGGGATCTACTGTATAAATGTCACTCTTCCCATCCACAGTGTTGATTGCAGAAAGAGAGAAGCTTACATTTATAACTCCTTCCAAACCCAAGGCCCATTTCATTACGCATCACCAAAATTTTAAAGAAATATGAGTTTATTCTTCCAATTAAACTGCAAATAACCTTGTGCAGGCTCCTCTGCAATGACAGAGATGTATTTTCCACACTAGAAAAATCAGAAGTTTATTTGGTTCTATTACAACAGTCAGATAGCAATACAAATATTTTTTACATTGGGGCAATGACAAGAAAATTACAAATCTGTCTTACTGAACACCAGGACAATATCTGTAACAAGTGCACTATCGAATTTTTTAGAAGTATGGTGGATAGAAATTATGTGCTGAAATGGAATGAGACTTCACTGCTAATGCAATGTGTTGACAAAAAAGTTACTTTTATTTGGAAGGTGTTATTATTAAAAATTGGAACCTAGTAATAAATCTACATTGGCTCTTCCAAGAATTTTGGTATCACTTTTAAAAATTCATGCATTTAATATTAAGTTGTCATGGTATGATCTATTTGCCATAATAATAAATTTACTAATGACATGTAAATTTTTATCTTATTATTTTATTTAATTTTATTGTTATATGCACATGCCATTCTTGTGCCTATGTTAGTTTAAATTTAACTTAGAAAATTTAAATTCCATTTTGAATATTTAACATTACACTTGAAAATTTGTATTCCATTTTCAAATATTTAACGTTCCATTTTTAAAAATTTACCATAATGTTCCAAAGTTATGTTCTTCACCTGAAGATGACATTGATAAAATGTTGAAAGTGCATGCAATTGATGTTATAATAAAAACTGTTTAATATCGATAGACAGTAGTTACTTCTTGTTTTAAAGGACTTTCTGACCTAAAACAAGTGTAATCTCTTTGAATCTCAACTGCAATGTCAGCAACATCTTCAAACTTTCTGAATAAACAATAAATAACTTTCGGATGTGGTGATAATTTGAAATTGCATTTTAGATTTGTCTTTATTTCTTTTTTTGTGTCTTTCATATGGTGTTTTATGTTGTAGAGTAACATATTCCACCTATTGACACATTTAGGAAGTAAAGTTTTTTTCATGTAATCCTTCTCCTCATGCCTTGAATAGTATACAAACAAAGTTTGATACCATTCTGCTTCTTCATTGAAGCTACAGGGTGCTCTAGAGATATTTTGATTGTAACCATCTGATATATATAATTTATACATACAGTCAGTCATAATTTTAAATATTTACTTCAAAGAATTTGGTTTTTTATTTTAATATCCAGTTTTTTCATGATATTTTTGTTGTTACTATCATTCAAATATAAATACATGGATGACATTGGAATTTTTCAGATATGAGAAAAGTACATAATTTGCTTTTTATTAAAGTTTGCTGTGTTTAATAGAGAAACTCATTTAGTAGGTGAAAAGTGTATCTGGAATGGAGAGAGAGAGAGAGAGAGAATTTTTGTCAGAGGTTTGTAATGAAATTGACTTGAGACCATTTTCAGCAATAATGTTTTACAATTTTAAAATAAACCTGTGAAAGCATCTGAAAACACTGCAACAATTGTTATAGTGTTTGCAAATGCTTTCCCAGACTTCAGTTTGTTTCACTTGTAAGTATTTTGGTAACTTGTGACATGGCATGATGACTCTCAAAAAACAAAGCCAAAAGTGATCTTCCTGTAATGATAGTCACAGAAAACACAGGAATTGTATCAAGACTATGGTAAGTTAGATCCACATGTAATATATAAAGATATAGAGTTCAGTCTAATCATTGTATTATCAGCAATACAAGTTCTCAAATACAAACAGCTAAATGTTAGAAATATGTCACATCAATGGACTCCATATTTATTATTAGACTTACAGAAGAAACCTCATGTGGAATGGTGCCACTAAATAATCCAAAGATTTGAAAATGGGCAATCAAAGTGTGTTTGGTTGATCATAACAGATGATGAAATATGGATCTATCAATAAGACAAAAAATTAAATATCAGTCAGCCCTCTAAGTGTTCCCAGATGAGCCATCATGTGTCAAAAGTGCTAGTTGCTAACTGGTGGCCATATTTTTTGGCCAAGGTCTTTATATTGCAACTATATGTCTTAAGGTTCAAAAGACTATCACTGTTGATTGGTATGTTATCATTTGTCTATTACAAGTCTTTCAGGCAATTTATTGGAGATATCTAAAGACCAGACATTGGGTTTCAATTGGAAAGACAGTTTCTGCTTTACCATAATAATGCCTTAGCATACCTGGCAATGAGAACATGAATTTCCTGAATTAAATATTCAACTAGTGAATTAGCCATGCTGTAGCCTGGATCTGACATTGTGACTATTTTCTATCCCCAAAGTCAAAGAACTGCTTTACATGTGGCATTTTCCTTAAAAACAGAATAAGAAGCTTCTATCTTCAAAGAGCACATTAAAAGCATCTCAGAAACCCAGTGATAAAATTACTTCCATAGTTAGTTTGTGAGAATAAAATGCTGCATAGAAAATGGTGAAGAAATATACTTCAAAAAGATATGACAAACATAATTTACATTTGATAAACAGTTTACATATATCTGGTAACTAAAAGTTGTCCACATGTAATTTAATATATATAATGCAAAATTAAATTAATTCATAAATACCCAAGATAAGCATTCATGCTGTTAACTGTTTTAGGAAATGGTAAATCTGAAGTCATCTCTTTATAATTCTCTTTTTCAATTCTTTCTTTCTATAGAAATAATGCAAAAATATTAAATGTTAAAATTTTAAATAAACAAATAAACATATATATATATATTACATATATTTACAACATTTTATTGTTTGTTTAATGCATTAAACAAGTTTAATTTTAATTACACATTAAATAAATTTTATTATTAGGTTGTTCAGAAAGTAAGTTCATTTTTTTACCACTAGACAGATTAGTCATATTTTTCCCACCATTTTCATTCTAAACTGTATTATCATTATATATTTTGACAGCTAGCATTTTAAGGCTTATTTGTAAAAAATTTTGATTGATTCTGTGGAATTGTTTATTTTTTGTGTCCCATCAAATATGGAAGATTGAAAGCATCATTTTCGGCATATTTTGCTTTTTTTATTATCAAAAAATCAAAATGCTGTTCAAGCAAGAAAAAAATTGTGGTACATGTATGGAGATGATGTGTTGCGAAAAAGACAGTGCCAAAACTGGTTTACAAAATTTCGTTCTGGCAATTTCAATATTGAAGATGCACCACGTTCTGGATGGCCAGTTGAAGCCAATGAAAACAAAATAAAAATACTGATTGAAGCAAACTGCTGAATAAAAATCACTAAGAGATTAAATTTGTCAAATTGAACTGTTTATGATTACTTGAAACAAACTGGTTTCATTTCAAAGCTCGATATATGGTTTCCACATGTTCTTAAAGAGAGATGCTCTTGTGGTGGTTCGTTACGGGACAGGTATACAATTCCGCAAACAAAAAGTTACAAACACAAGAAAGATACAAAATTCAATTATCACACAGAAACTTTACTTTATAAATCCTAACTTAAACTTTATGCCTCTTTTATACAGAAAAAAAAAACACTCCACTGTCGGCGGGGTTCGTACACGTGACAACAAAAAAATACTTATATAACTAACTTATATCTATCTTATAACTAATGGAAAAAATAAGAACGTAGGACAGATGAATATGGAAACAAAAGGTAGGGAGAATAGAAATACCTGGGATTTCTTTTGGTACGTATATACACTGTTCGAAGTATGGCGCCTCTTTGCTATCTTTTTCCCCAAGGTCTGTTCTGCTCTTCTCGATATCGAAGAATTCTGCTCGTTCCTTAAACTCTTCGTTGTCCTCACAGCCCTTTTCTTTTATTATCATCTTTTTCCTTTCTTGCCGGTTCAGGTCACAAGCACTCCTTTCTCAATCTGCTCTCTTCGGAGTCTCTCCCCAGAATGTTCTATTTCTGACCAGTCTTTTCCCATGGCCCCATTCCTTCTCTTGTTCTTATTTTCTTAGAAGAAGTAATCCTACCCCAGGGGCAAAAGGGGTAGATCAGAAGGTCTTAGAAGAGACAAAGAAACAGGAAGGAAGGATAGGATTAATTCAAAATATATATATATATACAATATCATGGCTGACGGCCATACTCTCTTTGGTGGGATTTTAAGAAAAATTTTTTGGAGCTTTTACCAGACAATTTAATAATTGATTCGAAAGTGTACTGCCATCAAGTAAACAAACTGAGTAATATCATCAAACAGAAAAGATGGCCAGAATTGATCAACAAAACAGGTGTAGTGTTTTACCACGATAAGCTAAATTTCACAAAAGTTTGGTAACTCGTCAGAAACTGTTACAGCTTAGATGAGACGTGCTATCACACCAAACATATTCGCTAGATCGAGCACACTCAGATTATTAAATTGTTCTGGTCTATACAAATTTTTTCTAACTGTAAGACATTTACTTGAAATGACAATGTCAAAAATCATTTCCTACGCCAATGACATCAAAATTTTATCCAATGATCCCTCCTCTCTTCAGATCACTGTTAATTCTTTATGTTCTAATCTTGCCAGTTATAATCTAAAAATCAACATCCATAAAACTGTCATTATGTGTTTTTCTCTACTTTGCAATCCCTACCACCCTTCCATATTTATTTATTCTTCTAAAATAAACATGTCCCATCTCATCGTGAACTTGGTATCATATTTGATGAAAAATTAATATTCCATGATCATATCTCTTACATTATTAAATCCCTTGCAATTAGAAATGGCTTTATCTGGCGTTTTTGCAAAAATATTTCTTCAAAGACCATACTCAGAACAATTTTCTTTACTAATTTTCAATCAATAGTTGATTGTTTACCAGTCTGGGCCATGGCTGCCCCTTATCTGATTCAAAAAATACAATCTGAATTAAATAAAGCTTATTTTCTGATATATAAATTCTGCAATTTACCCTTTACTGATAACTACGATGTGGCAAGATTTCACCTTGGTCTTCCAAATCTTTCTGATTGCTTAAAATATTTTGACCGCATTCTCTGCTTTAAATACTTCAACGGTCTAATTTTAAATTACTGGCTAGGTCTCCGCATCCCTACTGTAAGAACCCGTAATACATCATGCTTCTTAATCCCATTTTTTCACCTTTCTCTTTCACAAAAACTTTTTTTTTACCGTATAGCATCTCACATACAGCCTGTTGAACCTTACCTATATCGTGATTTTAATTTTTTTAAAAATAAATGTAAATCTATTTTATATAATATATAATGTAACTGTTGTTTTACTTTATTTATAATTTTTTTTTATGTCTGTTATATCTTTTATATTTTGTAATCATTTTATTGGGGATCATTTTTGTTTTGTTATTAGGGGAGTGGAATACAATCATCTCTGATGTTTCCAATTAAATGTAAATAAATAAATAAATAAATCACCTGGATCATTTTTTTTGTAAGTAACGATCAAAACTTTTATGAATGTGAAATCATGCTACTACCAGAAACAATGACAACAGGTATTTGACCAAAATGGTTGATATATACTGTAATTCAATAAAATATCTATTTATTATAAAAATATTGTGCTTTTTTCCACGGGATAAAAAACGAACTTACTTTCCGAACAACCCAATATTATTGAAATTCTGAAAAATTGTAAAATTATTTTGATTTTCAAAATTTTCAAAGTAACTTCATATTAACGTAAATCATTTTTAAAGATTGATTTTAACTCAATATCAAAACAAGTTTAAACAATGGCAGAAGTGGATTTAGGGAGTGTGCAGGGCACAGTTGTACTTTCTTATGACGGTTTTTCTAAAGTAAAGTTGAGTACTTTTGTAAAAAGTTTTGTAAGGCATGATGTTTCCTTTTTGCACCCCTCTAAAGATTTCTGGGTCCACTATTGAGTATTGTAGAAGGGAAGTACCGAAATAATCCCAACCTTAATGTGGGGTAAGAGTTGTCTGAGGACCTCACAATACAACACACCTCAGGGCCAATAGATAAATAAATAATTTATAACGATTTATGTACATGTACATATAGCAATCAATAATATTAGCAATTCAATAATTACCGATCATGCAGCGATTAATAATACCTGATTGGTACAATTGACTCACTAATTACAAATCCTATAGTTAAAAATTTACAGTTAATTACAAGGAGATTCCATGTCATCGATCTGATTGCATACAATTTTTTGTAACGACGGTATAGTCCATATTCAATAACAAAGGGGTTGATAATCACGTGTTGGAAAAATGTTATTAATCACAAAAATAATGTAGCAAAAGGTTCTAACCCATAAAGTTTTCTCTTCTATAATTGGAGATATTGTTCTTCATATCGTTCACACATTGATGCAGTTGGATTTTCTTTCCTTCCCCTTCAATCTCTCCCAAATCATATATCATTCATATATGGAGACCCTCACCTTCCTTCTCCTCGTCCTTAGTCTTGTAACGGTTCTTCCAGCACACGCAGGTTATGGAAAACAAAGATTCTCTCCCATTGTGGGGTCACCCTTTTATATCTCCCCTTTGTTCAGATCTCCCGCCTCCTATCACATGGTCTCTCGAACAGCCAACCAACAGTCCACCAACCACCTCCTCTCAAAAGGTGGTGCGTGACGCAAAGGAAAATTGACATTCACTCGTTACAAAAATAACAAAACCCGACATGTATAATAAAAAATAAGCAAAACAAAAAATATAATTTACAAGAAAAAAGTGCATAGCACTATAGTATTATATATAAATATTCAAGTGCTCAGATTTAATCAGACATATTTAGGAATCTAACTATAAAACAAGAAAAAGGAATACTTTTGCTTCAGAAAAAGTGCTTTGATCAAACTGTACTATCAAGGAGCTTTTATGACAAGGATTTGCAAAAAAAACTATATTACATTTTCATCATTTAAGCAGTCCAAACATTTGGACATAATACATTCCTAAAACTGTGTGTGAAACTCAAGCAATAGAATTATACGTTATAAAGAGAATTCCGTTTTCAGAGAGCTGAAAAAATTAAAAAATCTTTTATTAAGATATGAAAGATTTACTTTTTTTACAGTGAATATGTTACAAAGCATAAACATTTTAAATGAATTTTAACATTTAAACAGAAAATAGACAATAAAAACTAATTTTCACAAATTATTTTGTTGTAACAAACCAAAACTGGCAAAAAGTACCACCATGCAATAGGCTCAAAGTTTTTGCTTTACAGCTGAAATGGTACAGAAATTTGAATTTGCCATATGAAAAGCAATTTATAGTATCAAAGTATTTTTTATGAAAAAATGGGTCATCCTCAAGATTGATGAGTTGTTTCAATTTATGGTACATCAGGCATCTGGTATGTCAAATAGCTTTTCTGAGACACAAAAATCATACGTTAGGTAAAAGAGCTTCACATCCGTATGGAAGTTTTATTTGAAAGATGGGAATGCTCCATTGTTGCGACAGTTAATTAGGAACATCAGCTTCTCTCTTATCCTGGTTAGGGATAGAATGGCTTTTCTGTATAGCTTGGCTGACATTGCCATGAGTAAATCAGACAAAAAAAACTGGCACACATAAACTGGCAAGGGCCTCTGAAAGACGGCCGAACACATTTGAACATTAAAGTTTATTTGTTCGTTTACTGCTGGAATTAGCATTTTGTGTGTTTACTATATAGTTCCAGTTTATGTGTGCCAGTTTT